CCTACTTCCGTAGTGATAACTGCCTCGGAAACCCAAGGAGGGGTCGCTATGAGTCGGGGCCGACTCGACGGCACATAACAACAACAACAACAACTCCCGTGCACGCCCCGCCCTCGGTCTCCGTTGCAGCAAAGGAAACAGGCCAAGGGACTGGGCCCAAGGACGGCGTGTAGTGGCCACTTCTCAAATCCAAGTACAGGAGAGCCGCCCATGGATTAACGAGACTGATTAAAGGCGTGAATCAGGGCACGTTTTATTCAGGTGTTGCTGGAAGGTCGAAATTGTCTTCTCTGGAAAGAATCATCTCCTCTTTGGGTTTCAGAGGCCCAAATTGAGGCACAATGGTGAGAGAATGTGGTGGTCCACTCTGATGTCAATCTTGAGGGCTAGGTATGTCCCAATATATCTTATTACTACTAATAAATATTTTAATAGCCACCATTTGTATTATTGCATGCCATGCATTTTACAGAGCAGGTTACACACATGGTCTCATTTAATCTTCAGAAACCACCTAGAGGTATTATTACCCCATTTTCCGGATAGAGATATTTAGGCTTCATGCATATTAATAATTTAATATGCTAGAAAGTGTTTGGGAAGCAGATTCAAACCTTTTTTTTTTTTTTTTTAAACTGTTACTTTATTATATCTATTTACAAGTCTGTCTTCCAAAAATTTGCCCTCTTTTAGAATTCATTTACACTTTCTACTTGTGCTACCTCTTTATTCATTTTTTAGTATCTTGATAATACACGTTTATTGTAAAAAAAAAAAAATCAGAAAATTAACATTAGCATGTTGTTGTTGTTATATGCCGTCGAGTCAAACCCGACTCATAGTGACCCCTCCTTGGGTTTCCGAGGCAGTATCACTACGGAAGTAGGATTGCCCAACCTTCCTTCCGAGGAGTGGCTGATGGGTTTGAACCGCCAGCCTTCTGGTTAGCAGGCAAGTGTCTTAGCCACTATGCTACCAGAGCTCCCATTAGCATAAATGATGTGAAAATCAGTTCCCACCATCTTCAATTAACAGCTAACATTTTGGTGTACATCCTTCTAGGCATTTTTCTACATATCATGTCAATAATTAAAGGGTAGTTTTAATGTGATAGATCCTGAAACTCTACTTATTCATTCAACAAAAACTGAATGAACAAGCAAGCCCTCTTCTAGGTGCTGGGAATTCAGCAATGAACAAAACAAAGTTTCTGCCTCATGGAGCTCTTATGATAGTGGGGGAGATTGACAATGAGTGGTGCACAAACTGTGTTGCCAAATAATAGGTAATGCCCCATAGCATGCATGAAAGTGATTTGGGGATGCTCTTTTAGATAGGGTAGATGGGGAAGGCAAATAAGCAGAAATCTAATCATTTAATGAGAAAGGGAGCAGGTGAATTTTTGGAGGGAAATTATTCTAGAAGAAAAGCAGCAGGTGCAATGGTCCTGGGATAGGGACTTGCTTGGAATGTTGGAGAACAGTAGGGAGACCAGTATGCCTGCAAGTTAGATAAAGAAGGTGGGAAACATAGCCAGGAAGCAAATCATGTACCATTTGGTATGCCATTGTTAGATTGAGGATTTTATTGGGATGTGATAGAATAACGCAGAAGTGTTGAGAGCGAAGGAGTGATCGGATTTGGTTTGTAAAGATCAGTCAGGCAGCTGTGTGGAGAATAGAGAGTAGACACATTCAAATTGCCCTTTACAGCATAAGTTGTCCTTTACACAGCAGTTGTTTCACAGGTAGTTTATTATGTAGACATTTCACATACAACTTGGCAACCACTACTACCTTCCCCCCAAAGTGGAGATAGGGTCATATACTTAGTAATTATCACCATGTCTTTCTCACCTAAACTAAAAGTTTATTGAGACTGGCTAGGGTATATATCCAGGCTTGGAAGTCAAGATTGTCAACAAACTGAAGATGAGTCATCAATATGCTAGTGTAGGAAAACAAACAAAACAAAACAAAAAAACAACCCCACATAATACTGAGATCTGTTCATTAAAAACATAGCATTCAAGCTCTCCTCCTTAATCTCCTTAATTGGGTGTTAGGCCTTTATTAGCATTCTAAGCCCCAGCTTGGTCAGTATGCTTCGGTAAGATGTAGAGAAATTAAAATGTACGGCACTAGGAAGGATAACACTAATTTAAGTAATTGCTTTTCTGGGTTTTTGCCATAAGCATTTGGGTTGCATAGTAGTATCATTTATGAGGCGGGAGAGACCAGCTGAAGGGAAAACGTATTTGGAGGAGAAATTAAAAGTTCTGTTTAGATCGGTGTTTTATAGTCTGAGTGAAATGACAGATGTGTGAGTCTGAGCTCAGTGGAGAGGTCAGGGCTAAAATTATACAATTGTATTAGAATTGTTTCTTTGGATGTTTGTCTTTCTTAGGCAGAACTATTTGAGGACAGGAACTGTGTCTTACCTTCTTTGTAACTTCAGTGCCCAGAAGTGTGTCCTCAACGAATATTTGTGAAATGAGCAAGTGAAGGCAGAGGAATGGATGAAGTCACTCAGGCAAAGTGTATAAGGTAAAAAGAGAAGAGAAGCACTCCATGCTTTCACGGGAGGTCAAGCACCATGACATGGTGATATTAAGTAGGATGACCATAGTCCTAGTTTGCTCAGGACAGTCCTGGTTTATGCCTCTTGTCCCCAAGCAATGATTAGTATCACTCCCTTTCTGTGAAGTGTCTCAGTTTATACAATAAATTATATGGTCATTCTTTGTAGAAAACACTTAAGGGTCTAGCTTCTTCCTGTTTCTTTATAATCCCTGCCCTGTCTTATACCATTCTCCAACCAGATGGAAGTATCTCCAGTTCTGCCTTTTGACCCTGTTACCTCCAAGCTTCATTTGCCAGAATAACTCTTAACCTCAACTTACACAGCACTTCCTCAGGAACACCTTTCCTGACTCCCCTCTCCAACCCCACCGCACCCCCAATTCTGAGGTAAGAAGCTTCTTTCATGCTCCCAGTGCTCCCTGTATTTAATGTGTCATAGCAGAGATGACTGATTGCCTGCTTTCTTGTTCACTAAACTGTACAGGAGTGGGATTGTATTTCATTCACCAGTGTATCCCCAGGGCCTAATGTGTAAATACTAGAGATACACCAAAATGTATTTTGGCCAAATGCCTGATTCAACATTAAAGTCAGTATTCAACAGAAGCCCATCATAGAATTTCCAGGATATAAAAATAAACCTGAGATATTGTCAAAAAATTTTTAATTGTTTTTTTGTAATTATATTTAATAGTCTAGTACTACATTTTCATACTTTGAGATTATGAGCAGTATAATTATTTCTCAGCACTGCCAGCTGTTACATTGTTCTGTGGTTCTGCTGTGTTTGCAACATGAAACAGATACCCACTTTCAAATGAGATTGGTAGAGAAGCAAGATATTTTTTGGCTGGTATGCCAGTATAGGATACTGCTGATGGTAATGTTACTACTAAATGACTTAACTTTCTTTCTTTTCCAAGAGTAAGGTCCTAGTCAACTCCTCGACTTCAAAATCTGATCCATTATGATTAGTAGATCAGTTTCACCAAAGTGATTCCACAAACTGTAACGCTTTATGCATTGCTTGCACTGTTTTCTGAAGTTTTTCAGAAGCTGGCCTAATATTATAGATTGTACCTTAATCTGCATTTTTATTTCAGTTATTTTTGCATGCAATTACTACATCACAGTTTATGTGAGAAAAATTATAAAGCTCATTTAGGAGATTTTTCACTCTACCTTACACCAAAGATGGCTTACCTATATTTAAAAGTGAATTTAAAAGTAAATTCAGACTTACTAGTAAAATTGAATAGTATGCCTTGACCATCATATATTGTTATGCTAAATAGATTTGATTGTTGATTATGCACAAATCCAGGGATCCCAGAAATGACATCAGAGTAGGCATTTTGGTTCTTCATTCTTTCCTAAAGCCAAAAGCCAGTAACAAATTTTGGGCATATCCCAAAGCCAGACCCAAATTTTGGTTTATCTCTGTGGTAGTAAATAAATCATTGAATACATGAATTCTAACATTCTATAACTTAGGAGATAACTTTGAGGCTCTAAACTTGGTCTTAATTTAAAAAAAAAATTAAGTTCATATCTTATTAGAAATGTATATAATTCTGAGTAGTGTCTTTGCTTTTAGGTTGTTATAAAAAGTAATTGAATCAGCATTTGTTACATGTTTAGATTGGTGCCTAGCACATGGTGAGCAACATGTAAGTATTTATCTAAAGGCGTGATAAAAGATTATCGCCTCAGTTTGCCTATCTATAAATTCTCTACCTATCTCATAGAGTTGTTGTCAGGATAAAATACTTGGCGTAGAGTAAACAATAAATGTTAACTAGTAGTAGTAGTAGTAGTAGTATTTATAATTGGTGCATTGGTGGTTCAGTGTTGGAATTCTTGTGGGTTTAATTCCCAGCCAGTGTCAGTGGAGGCTTGCGTGTTGCTATGATGCTAAACTGGTTTCAGTGGAGCTTCCAGAATAAGACAGATTAAGAAGAAAGGCCTGGTGATCTGTTTCTGAAAATCAGCAAGAGAACACCCTGTGGATCACAACACTCCATAATCCATAACCAATCATGGAGATGGTCCGGACTGGGCAGTGTTTCATTCTATTGTGCATGAGGTTGCCATGAGTCAGGGGCCAATGCTATGGCAGCAGCAACGATACTATTTATGACTGTGGTTGTTGGTAGTAGTTGCCATTGAGTCAATTCTGACTCAAGGCAACCCCACGTTCAGAGTAGAACTGCTCCATAGGAATTTCAAGGCTACCTTTCAGAGACAGACCATTAGTCAGGCCTATCTCCCAGGGATCCTCTGGGTGACTTTGAGTTGCCAGTAATCAAGTGCTTAACCATTTGTGCCACCCAGGGACTATCTTTCTACTTATAATTACTCCAAAAAGTCAAATATTCTGTCAGTAACTCTGTTGGTCTGTGTTCTGGCACTGTGCTCAAAGTTGGGTTTTCTGTGGCGCCATCACAGACTTACAGCTTAGGAGAGAAAACAAGCAATTAAACAAGAAATAAAGATAGAGTTTTATGAATTATGATGTGTATAGGAAGCTATGAGGACATAAAACAAAGGAATCTAAATTAATGTAGAGGGATCAGCACATGATATTTGAAAAGGAAAAATACTACCTATCATAACTTTGGGAGCTCTGGTGGCGTAGTGCCTAAGGCATTTGACTGCTAACCAGAAGGCTGACGGTTCAAACCCACCAGGCACTCCTTGGAAGGAAGATAGTGCAATCTGCTTCCGTAGAGATGTTATTATTGTTGTCAGGTGTGGTAGAGTCATCTCCGACTCATAGCGACCCTGTGCATAGCAGAACGAAACACC